AAGTTAAGTCATACAACCTGTGCAAAGGAATAATTGAATTTATAGTTTTTACTTACTTTCATTCAGCATTTCAGTATTTCTAATGAAATGATAACATCTTTTTATTTACTTGAGAATATAAATGTTTCTCATTGGTAACTATGAATTATAAACATGCAAATATATATACATATTTCAAAAGTTATACACTGATACTAAATAGCCAGATTTTCATTTTGCATAATTCCTCTATGGGAAAGCACTCTTTAGATTAACTTAAAATGCAAATATAGCCTGAATTTTAATGATTTTATGAGGGGGAAATCATTAGTTCAATATCTTCTTAAATGTCCTTATTCAAGACTAATTGTTTCCCCATTGATGTCACTTTATTGGTTGTCAGGTAGATTTTATCATTAAAGTCTTTTTATAGGATTGTGCCATCTTGTTTCTGTTTTAGAAGGTTCAAAAACTTTTTTTATATTTTCAAGTGCATTTTATTTTTGCTCATTCTTTATAACAAGTACAAGATACAGTTTCCGTTGTAAGATAAAGTCATAAACTGCTTTATTCTCTTAAAAATAAATTTGGTCATCAGTGATCACTTTTGTCAATGTAAACTAAGCCAATTTAACTACGTTTCCTTCAAAGTGCTGCAACTGTTGTGATGTTGTGTTTCATTTTGTAACCCATCTGTTACGTAGGCCAGATATGCATTTTCTGGATGCCATCTGTTGGTTTCCAATGGTTTACTACATGGTGGGCTCTATTGACAAGTAGGTGACGTAATCCTTGGCACACTAAACATTGTAGTGTTCTGTGGTTTGTTGTATGCTGTGTTTTGTATCTGCATGATTAGTGTATGGTGCAATGCCAGTATTTCAAAGGTGGTATACTTTGCATGGATAGATACATGTTCTTGTATTTTAGTTCTTGGATTTAAAATTCCTGTCCAGAATCCTGCCATCAACAATAAAATAAGATAATCTGTTGCATGCCCAGTTTTGCTCAATTTTGAAAGCTTGCTTCAGTGTTGTATTTTTGGCTGAACTAAATCCTGGGAATTTTTATAGTACTGATATCATTAGTGTCAACAATATATATTATACAGTGATGGAGAAAACAAAAATTCTTGAGATTTCAGTATTGCATTTGGTAGAATCATCTGAAATTTCACAGATTCTGCAAATACTTTTATTTAGCAATCCTATTAAAAGGAAAAAAAATGAAAAATGAAAAAATACTATTTTTTTCAAGTTAGAATAGTAAGAAATCCCTAAAGTAGTAACATTTCCTCTAATATTTACTGTACTTTCATAATTCCTACATCACAGAAGCTGAAATTTCCAAAGGTTAAACTATTTCTTAAATAAACTATAATAATATGTCTTGTGATGTGCTAAGGTTAAAATGCAATTAATTATGAGTTGACTTTTAAAAATTCAAAAGGTTAAGTTACTATTAAATGTGTAATCATGCTAAAAATCTTTTCTCTATTTTAATCTCAGTGAGAGGCCTTTCTGAATTAAAAAAAAAACTTTTGCATTTTACTTTTGATTGTTTCATGGCTGCTTGAGTCCTTTACATGTGTGGGGAATGTATTTTTCAACTTTAAAACTCTTGAATTTATTAATTCCATGATTAATGTTTTGTCAGTTACTATTTTTTTCCTGGAAATTTGAAGGTGTTTATTTACTCCTGGGTGAATTTAAAGCCATGCATAAACTAAAAGATCATTTTTTCATTGCGTTCATACCATTTATACCATAATACATTGCCCTATTAAGAACTTATTCAAAATTATAAAAGCATTAAAACTTAAACATATGCATTATTACTTATAAAGAATATATGCCCCAAATCTCATCCTAAAAGAAAAAACTGGCTATTTTTTCAAAGATGCTTTGATAATTTTCCTTTATAATTTTATAACAAGCAAAGAAACTAAAAAAGTCAATGAATCAATGATGTTTCTTTTTGTTATTTATATTGTGGAATACAATGACATTTTTCTCATTCCATAGGATCAGGGATGCAGATCAGGTTATGGGTTTTTTGTTTTTTTTTGTAAAAGCCATTATGGTAGAGGATCAAATCTTTCTATGCATACATTTATACATATACACACATATACACAAGGTTACAACCTCCACCTTCCCCTTGAAAGGGAATAGATTGGGTTAGGTCAGGGAAGGATGTTAGAGAACCCATAACATTGGGTTATGTAAAGAAGGCTAACCTGAGTGCCAGTGTGTGATTGACTTTTTTCCCTGTCAAGCAATTTATAATGTCATGTCATTGAATGTCACAAAATTCTATACTTGGAAAGGGCCTTACTGGTTATATGGTCAAAGCTATCCAAAATGCTCTAGAAAAGCATGTGGAAGAATAGCAGCATTTTTCCCTATTGTAACCAGCTGAGATAAAGTACTAGTACTAATAACTACTGCCTTTTGAAAAAGATTCTTCTCTATATCCAGTTTCAGGTAAAACTAGGTAGAGTAAATCGATATAGGCAAGGAGTAGTTAGCTTCTTCCTCAGGAAAGACAATAGAATCATGAAAAAATACTAAGAAATCAGTTATTTAGAGGTTGGAACACATTAACATATAAACAGAAATAGCCTACTTGATGGTTAAAAATTTAATAACTCATTAAACATATGTGTATTGAGTATCTTTTATGTGTGACTTATTGTGCTAGGTGCTGATTACTTGCTTCTATTAATTCATCATCTTTTCAAATGTTATTTAATTAGAATATCTAAAACCCTTAGTCCTAATTCTGACTAAAGCATATGTTCCATTCAATTGAGAATTATTTCATATATTTGGGCATGATTATTCATTTTTTAACATAGGAACTCATTTTGCCCTACAAAAATTTTCACCAAAATAATTATTTTTGTATCTTTTTATGAAAATTTTGATCTGTTGTGACTAGGGAGTGATATACTAATAGATATTGACATAGCAGAAATTACCATTTTCACTACATACCATATTGATCAACAAATGTTTAAAAGAATGAATGTACTTCAACTACTCATTCAAGTAGCCATTTTTGTTATGTTTATTCTTGTTAGTGTATTACTCCCCAGTCAGATTAAGATTTTAATTTATACTTATCTTTTTCTATCTTTTTGAATATGCTATATATGGTGAACACGCTGTTGGAGAACAATGTTGAAGGATGGTGAAATGACTTGAAAATTCAGTAAGGTGAATTGAAACCACATAAGCAGTTTAGATATCATTTTCATGGTAAACAAATAACTATCACTTTCATATTCCATCTATCTTTTCCTACTTATTTATTTTGGTAGACTTATGGATAAGTATAAATTTCCTAGGTTAAGGAAAAAATGGATATTCCTAAGAACTTAAAATTTCAGGTTATCATATTGTGGAGTATTATGGTCCTGGCCCCTCTCTCCATAGGAGATTTATTTGGAATAACATTCTGTTTCCACAGTTTTAGCCATAATATCCCTGCCACAGAACCTTGTTCCTGATTCAAGAGAAATATTTTTTCTGGACTACTCCTGGGGAACTTGGACCTAAAGCTTTGGTAATACCTTCTCACCTCATAACAGAGTAAGAAATCCTGTGTCCCTGCATTTTCATGAAAGGAAAATGGACTAATCATATACTTGTAAAAGATACTCAAGGAGCTGCCACTTCAACTGATTACTCAAAAATAACTTTAATTTTTATATATTCTATTTTGAATCAGAAGAGATAGCAAGACCCACCAATCTATCTCTCATCAATCACCTTCAACCAACTTCATACTAAAGCAGCATTTTTACTTTCCAATCCAGTCATTCACTCTTGCATTTTACTCCTTCTGCTTGGTTTGTATGAAACAGAGGCAATGGAAGTATTATTTACCCCTTAGGGCTTTCATAATAGCAAGTCAATTTGAAATTAATAGAATATTAAGGTAAAAGATGAATTTGAAAGTGATAGAAGTGAGTATTGATTTCAGTATGTAGGCTACAGCAAATAAGAGGTTGTTCTATAGTCTTTATACAGCCAGATCCAGATGTTTAGGTTAAACAATTATTTTTGCTCATAATTTTCTTTTTTTAATACAATTAATTAGCCCTTTTTATGTTTATTTATTTTTTTGATGAGACAATTGGGGTTAAGTGACTTGCCCAGGATCACACATCTAGTAAGTGTCAAGTGTCTGAGGCTGGATTTGGACTCAGGTCCTCCTGACTCCAAGGCTGGAGCTCAATCTACTGTGCCACCTAGCTGCCCCTCATAATTTTCAAATTGGCTGTACTGATATATCAGAATATATCCATGAGACATATTACTACCCACTTGATAGTAAGCCTGTCATAAGCCTATTTTGTGTCACTTATGTAAATTGATATGCAAGAAAGGAATCAAGTTTTACAAAATGAAAAAACTACATTTTTTCTTCTTTTCTCTTGATCCCATCCAAGCCATGTGTTAATATTTTGTTTTTAATGTCCAAATATCTTTAAGAATAAAAAGTTGAAATGTTGCATCTATAAAATTACATTTTGTTTGCATAGTACAGCTCTAAAATTTTCTAATTTTATTACTATTTTGTTGCAAAATGCTTGACACATTTTTTTTCTATCCATATTGATCAACTTTTTAAAACATATTTTTGAGCAACTGAAAACCGGCGAGATAAAATTCAGATCTAATGTTACTTTCATCAGGATTATAATCCCTTCTACATTGGTAACAACTACAGAGTATCGCAAAAAAAAAAAATCAAATTTTAAGCTAGTTTAAAACTGCACTAAGACTTTTGGGACATGTTACATAATAGCTGGAATCTCATTTAATTCTGTTGGTATACCTTCTGGGAAACCATTAACTCCTGTACTTATAAGGATAACTGCATAGTAGCCAAAAGAAGCAATTAAAGCTGCCAGGAAAAACAAATATTTTCATTTTGTTTTGTTTTATAAATTCATTCTAATGCTGTATTATTTTTAAAAGTCCATTTCTATCTGTTCATTTTTACAAAAGCTTAGATGACTTGCTTAGGTGTGGAGTGACCTTTGCTGCTAACATGGTGGTTGTGGATAAAGAGAGTACTATGAGTGCGGAGGAAGACTACATGGCAGATGCCAAAACTATTGTAAATGTGCAAACTCTCTTCAGGTAAGTATCAGAAAAATCAGATACTATCTTTTCCTAAGGTAGCTTGGAGGTAAAAAATATCAAGTCTTATACAGTTTTTTGTATATGAATGGTAAAGATGAGAAGTTAGCTTTCTGTTTTACTTTGCTACATCAGCTAACTGGACTATACAGAAAATGAAGCCACCATCTTGTCCTTGCTAATTACTGTTCTCTCTGCATCCAAATACACGCACACACACACACAAAATTTTTATCAAGATTATAATTCTTTTGGCATCAGAAACAAGTATAGAGAATTTGAAAAGTCAATGCAACATATACATATACACATATATACACATACAAACATATATACATGTATGTACAAATATGTATGTCTATAAATTCATATATAAGTGTGTATCTATGTATTAATATATTTATGTGCGATTATATATTCAAATATCTTAATTGAAATGGTATTTCAAATACTGTCAAACCGGAATTGAAGTTATGTAAGTTTCCTGTTGATCATTTTAGGAATCTGAATTTTCCTCCTCTGAACTTTGTCTTTTAGTGACAGGTAGTTTGAGACAAATTCCTTTTGCTAGCTGGAAAGATGATTATTACATCCTCTCATCTTTGGCTATATATTGTCTTGAATATATAGTAGGATTCCATTATCTTGAAAAATATAGTCAACCAGCCAAAAAATCAAAAGCTATAGGCCTCAGCTTAGAAAATAAGAAGTCTACAAAAATCCTCTGGCCTTAACTATCCTTGGCTAGTCACAATGTTGGGTGTATCTTATAAGGCAAATGGATATATACATTGATTTATAGTGTAATGAAGTTAATGACTGAGTAATCCTTGAAAGTAAAATCACTTAGATAGTAAATATAATAAAATTAAGAATAACTCAAGGATTGTGAAGTTATTTACAATGGTGATGATGGATTTAGCTAAACCATTTGCTCAACGTTGCCCTAAGACCAACTTCAACAAGAAGTGATATTATTGATAAGGTGGATGACCAGAGTTAAAAATGGATCTTGATTTTAAAAAGCTAATTGATCTATACAAAGCATGTAGGTACAGTTTTCTTCTCTTTGCTAATTTCTATGCTCCTTGCAACAGACTTTATTCAAACACAGGCTTTGATTTAGTTTTCTCTTAGGTGGAATTATAAGTCAACTTAAATTTCTCATCTTAAAATTTCAACATCTAATTTATACATATATAATGGCATCCAATTTATATCTATATTTTATTGTTATATTTGTTTTTCTGAGTATTATCTTTTAAGTGTTTGAGATAAATATATGTTTTCTATCTCATGTGGGAGGCACAAAAGCAAAGCTCTTCAGAACTTCATTGACCTTAATCTTTATATAGAATCTTAGACTTGAAAATTATTTTAGAAAGTATCTAATTGAACCTGCTAAATGATAGAGAAAACTTCTCCATAATATACCTAACACATAGATATCTATCTTCTGCTTGAATATTACTATTGGCAGGGAACTTATTACCTCTCTAAGCAGCTTGTCTCATTTTCCTTAAGTGCTATGTTCCTGGTCACTGTTAAATATGAAGCTTTTCCCCTTAAGCAACTGCAAAACACTAATCTGTAACAATCTCAAATAGCAAATTGTTAGTGTTAAGAGTAATATTATTTCAGATCAGTAGAATTTTGGTTTATACAAGCAGAATTTGGGTATATGAAAATAATGCTAGTGACCTGCCATTAATGGGAAGTGTGATTTGAGGTATTTTTTTCTTTTTTATTATTTATTTATTGTTATAGTATTTTATTTCCCCCAAGTTACATGTCTGTAAAATTTTAACATTCACTTTTACAAGTTTTGAGTTCCACTTTATTCTTTCCCCCTCCCACCCCTCTACTCTTCTGAAAATGTGATATAGTTTATACATGTGCTATCATGTAAAAATATTTCCATATTAGTCACAATTATGAAAGAAGAAACAGATTTAAAAACATGAGAAAGAACAAAGTGAAAATAAATGCCTCAATCTGCATTCAAAATCCATCAATTCTTTATCTGGATATGGATAACATTTTCCTTTGTGAATCCTTTGTACTTGTCTTGGATCATTGTGTTGCTGAGAAGAGATGAGTCATTTATAATTGATCATAACACAATATTGCTGATAATGTGTACAATGATTTCCTGGTTCTGCTCATTTCACTTTGCATCAGTTTGTACAAGTCTCTCCAAGATTTTCTGAAATCTGTCTGTTCATCATTTATTATTGCACAGTACTATTCCATTACATTTATATACCACAGCTTGTTCAGCCATTCCCCAATTGATGGGCATCTCCTAAGTTTCCAACATTTTGCCTCCATAAAGAGGGCTGCTATAAATATTTTTGCACATGTAGGTCCTTTTCCCTTTTTTATGATCTCTTTGGGATAAACATCTAGTAGTAGTATTGAGGGATCAAAGGGTATGCACAGTTTTATAGACCTTTGGGCATAGTTCCAAATTGCTCTCCAGAATGATTTGATCAATTCACAACTCTACCAACAGTTTTCCCATATCCTTTCCAACATTTATCATTTTCCATTTTTATCATATTAGCTGATCCGATAAGTGTGAGGTGGTATCTTAGAGTTGTTTTAATTCACATTTCTCTAATCAAAAGTGATTTAGAGCCCTTCTTCATATGCCTATAGATAGCTTTGAATTCTTCATCTGAAAACTGTCTGGTCATATCCTTTGGCCATTTATCAATGGGGAATGGCTTGTATTCTTATAAATTTGACTCAGCTCTCTTTATATTGGAGAAATAAGAAATAATACAGCGAGAGATACTTGCTGTAAAGATTATTTCCCAGTTTTCTGTCTTCCTTTTCTCTTTTAATTAGGTCTATTTTTGCTTTTACTTTGAGATCAGGATTGCTACCCCTACTTTTTTTTTTAAAGTTCTGTTGAAGCATACTAAATTCTGCTCTATCCCCTTTTACTCTCTGTGTGCATGTGTCTCTGCTTCAAGGGTGTCTCTTGTAAACAACATATTGTAGGATTCTAGTTTTTGATCCACTCTGCTATCTGCTTCCATTTTATGGTGGAGTTCATCCCATTCACATTCACAGTTATGATTACTAACTGTGTATTTCCATTCATCTTATTCTTCCTCCTGTTTGTCCACTCTCTCCTTCCACCTTTTCCATCCCTACCAGTATTTTACTTCTGTCTACTACCTCCTCTGATCTGCCGTCCCTTCTATCAGTCCCCACCCTCTCTTACTTGATCTCTTCCCCTCCTACTTTCCTGGCAGGTAAGATAGATTTCTATATTCTACTTATTATGTATATTTTTCCCTCTTTGAGGCAATACTGATGAGAGTAAGGTTTAAGTGAGGCTCATCAACCACCCTCACATCTTCTCCTCTACTGTAACACTTCTTTAGCACCTCTTCATGTGAAATAATTTATCCCATTATACTTTTCACTTCCTTCTGCATCCAGTGTAGTCCTCTTTCTCATCCTTTAAACTTTTTTTGTCATTCCCTCCAATTCACCTTATACCCATACCCTCTGTCTATGTATTCCCTCTAACTGTACTTTAATGATACAATTTTTAAGAATTACAAATATAATCTTCCTGTGTAAGGATGTAAATAATTTAACTCTATCAAATCCCCTTATATTTTCTTTTCCCTGTTTACTTTTTATGATTCTCTTGGGTCTTGATATTGGAGGTCAAATTTTCATTTAGTTATGGTCTTAATAAAACTTGAAATCCCTCTGTTTCATTGAGTGACTATATTTTCATTTGATGTATTTGTTTACTTTTGCCAGGTAAGTGATTCTTGGTTGTAATCCTAGCTCCTTTGCCTTGTAGAATATTATGTTCTATGATCTCTGGTCCTTTAATATTGCAGCTGCCAAGTCCTGTGTGATACTGATTGTGACTCCCTGATATTTGAATTGCTTCTTCCTGGCCACTTGCAGTATATTTTCCTTGATATGACAGTTATGAAATTTGGCTGTAATGTTCCTTGGAGTTTTTATTTTGGAATCTCTTTCCTGAGATGATTGGTGAATTCTTTCAATGCCGATTTTGCCCTCTGATTCCAGGACATGTGAGCAATTTTCCTTGATAATTTCTTGAAAGATGCTGTCCAGATCCTCCTTTTGATTATGGCTTTCAGGTAGTCCGGTGATTCTGATATTGTCTTTCCTGGATCTATTTTCCAGGTCAGTTGTTTTTCCCATGAATTATTTTACATTTTCTTCCATTTTTTTCATTCTTTTGATATTGTTTGATTGATTCTTGATGTCTCACAGAGTCATTAACTTCTACTTGCCCAATTTTAATTTTTAAGGTGTTGTTTTACGCAAATAGCTTTTGTACTTAATTTTCCATTTGGCCAGTTGTAGTCTTTAAGGAGTTGTTTTCTTCAGTGGATTTTTGTATCTCCTTTTCTGTTTGGCCAAGGCTACTTTTTAAGTAGTTTTCAACACTGTTGACTCTTTTTTTTTTTTTACACAATTCACTTGCATCACTCTCACTTCTTTCACCAATTTTTCTTCTACCTCTCTTATATGATTTTTAAGCTCATTTTTGAGCTTTTCCATAATTTCTTTCTGGGCTTGAGACCACTTTCCATTTTTCTTTAGGGTTTTGTCCATAGGTTTTTTGACGTTGTCCTCTTCTGAGTTTGTGTCTTGGTTCTTACCTGTCACCATAATAACTTTCTTTGGTCAGATTCTTTTTTGTTGTTGTTTTTTTTTGCTCATCTTTTTTTTTTTTTGACCTTTTTTCTTTCTTTTAAATTTGATCTCTGCTTCCAGGGTGGAAAGAGCTCTGTTTCAGGCATTTTGTTCCAGTGGCTACAGGCCCTGGCTATTTATTCTGATGCTGCACTGTTGTTGCCCTGATGCCATGGGGGACCCTCATGTCTGGTGCTGTGTTGAGCGGTTGGGGTGGGGGGTGGCTGGTGCTGCTGGAGGCAGTAGGGATCTGGCAGCTTTCCTGGTACTGAACTGGGGTCCTAGTGGCGATGTCT